CATTGATCATGTAAACTAATCAATAGTATTCAAAGTTTGTTCATTTTTTTGTTGAAACAGAGTTATGCAGAACATTACAATCATCAACTATTGACTTCCTTTATGAAAAACGGGGATAAGGAAGTGCTGAAAAGTTCTTGGCCCAACAAAGAAGTCCTTTAAAAAAATAAAATAAATCTGCTGTTTTGTCATGTGTATTTACCAAACAGAAATTTTCAGCACCCCTTCATATCCTGCATTAAAAAACTTGAAATTTCCTTCATTGAAGTTGTGAGTTAACCAGTGATTTGAATAGAAAACTTATGCTTATACCAACTTTTTAAAGTTTAGGAATTCCAAACAATTTTGGCACCTTAGAATACCATACCCACTCACACTGAGATGGATTAGCCTGGACTCATATCAAAGTATAATAAATACATTTGGGAGTAAAGTCACAAGAGCTTTTTTTTTATCTTCATTAACCAGTGCTGGACAGTGAAATTGAGTAGACCCACCTGATCTGATAAGAGATAGTTGAAATATGTGGACATTTTGCCTGACACTGAGCCAAAGAATAATAGAATAATAATATGGTGAAGGTGGTTGAAGTTCTTGGTGCTCATTAGGAATCACTAATTGAATTTGCTTAGATTAACATTAAAAAGTAATTATAACTGAATAGAAGCAAGAATTTTTGTTTTCTTAATTATCATCTCTCTAACCTGACCAAGATAGATATTTCACTATAAAATGTAGCATCATGAAAGACATGTCAAATTGCAGAATAATAATAAAGGAGATGACAAGGTGCACAATTTTTAGCTATCATCTGTTATAAATACATAAGACCCTTGCACAAATGTTATTAATGTTAATAAATAATCCCAATGAATGGATCACTGATGTTATTACATATATGCTACCAAAACAGGTGAAAGATATGATCCACAACTTATAGGCCAATAACATCACATATACATTAATCATGTCTGTACTGAGTGACTGTAATTACTCTTTTCTCCATGAAAAGAATATTCCTCCCCTGGAATATAAAGGATGCCAAAATAGGTTCAAATGTTTACAAAGATCAACTATTGATAATTAAAATGATTCTGGAAAATTGCAGGAGAAAAGGTAGAAGTCTTGGCTTCAATAGATTATCGTAACACCTTTGATAGTGTATCAGACTTTGGGATCCTTAAGATTTTGAAAATGCACAAAGTCATCTCGGTGGTAGTAAATTTCCTTGAATATAGCATGGGACTGTAGAAAACTACATAATATCTTAATCACAGCAAAGGCATTGCCACTTCTAATCTGTTGAATATTCAACAAGGAATTTTTCAAGGAGACTGTTATCCTTCCTGTTCTGTTTGTCCCTAATCCATCTTTTGCATGAACTAAACAGTAATAACTACGGATACAAAATAAGCAACACAATATTTAATCACTTATTCTAGATGGATAACCTCAAACTTTTTGCTAAAGACAACAATGAGTTGAAAGGTCTCCTTAATACAGTAAAATATTTCGGTGATGACATCATTATAAACTTCAGATTAGATAAATGTGTAAAAGTAATATTCAAGAAAGTGAGAATTACTGAAACACACTTGATAGCTCTAAATTCTGTTACAAAGATTAGAGGACTAAAGCAAGAAGAAGCATATAAATATCTCGGAGTCAGCAAAGGAGCTGAAATACAGTAGACCCAAATAAAGGAGAAAGTAAGAAAAGAATACCATAGTTGTGTACGTTTGCTATTAAAACACAAAACAGAATATTAGTCATAAACACTTTGGCTGTTCCTGTGATGCAATATTGCTTCAACATCCTTAATAGGACCATAGCTAACATGAAACAAATGGATGTCAAAATGAGAAAGCTTTTCACTTGCCACCACACGCATCATTTTAAGGCCAATGTTGATTGCATGTGTATTGGATGATGATCTGTGTCAAAGAACACAAAAGAAATAAACTTTATTCTGTAATAAAGAAAGCTAACAAATTCAAAAGGTAATTTCAAGTAGATGAAGAAGAACAGGTAAGCCACAGTCTGCAGCAAAGAATCTAAAAATGAAGGCAAAAGCAAATGCAATGCATCAAATACAGAAACAATGGCAAGATAAACCTCTTCATGGTCAACACTCTACCCATGCCAAACAAGCTGATGTAGACAAACCCCATAACCACCAGTGGTTGTGTAGGGCAGGGTTAAAATATGAAAGTGAAGGTTTTATTCTTGCTGGACAAGACTAACTAGAAATTATCAAGTGAACATACTGAAAAATTATGTTGCCCACAAAGGCAGATTCTGTGATGAATATCCAGAAACAATTGATCAACTAGCATCACATTCCACAGTATAAGCATCCATTGAATAAAAACTCAGCATGACAGTGGGTCAATATCTGTATTGGAAAATCTGCAACTTTTATAGGAAGGAAACTGCAAGGAATTGGTAAGAGCACCACCCAGACAGTTACAGATATAGAATATGTAACAATTTTATGAGGCTTTACAATAAACAGACATAATACTCAAAGCTAATTGCCCAAGCATAATGATCAAAGATCACAAAAACAGAATGTGCTTTCTAATTGACATGACAGTTCCTGCAGACTGTAATGTAACATTGTAGATTTTCAAAAATCCTATTAAAATACAAGGATCTTTAAGTGGAAATTTCAAAAATGTGGCACATAAAGACATTAATAATTCCAGTTGTAGTCAGGGCCTTGGGTTAGATTGAAAAAGGTTTTGATCAAGTCATTGACGGGGTCTCTGACTTAAAGGAAAGTGAAAAAAAATTCTCAGAAGTACAGCTCGCATCACAGGAAGAGCTTTATCTATGTAAAATGTGGGTGTTTTTAAGTACTTTTATTTTTATTTATTACATAAATATGCAGTGAAAAATGTAATGATGTCATTTCTGACCTTAGATCTCTGGTTGGGACCTAGAAGGAAATGAGTATACAATGGAAATAATAATAATACTTACAGAAAGTTGGCAGATTCTGGATATTTATTTCCAAACTTCCAACTTTTGAAATGTATGAAGATAATTACATATGCAAATTACTAATGTCCCACTGGGGTGTGGGAAATGAACAAAGTGACAGGCAAGTTCTACAAGATTTATACTAAATTCTTTTAGTTAATTGCTCTAACTGTAAAACTGATGGAAAGTTTTAAGATGAGTATGCTCCCATCATGTTACTTGCATTTAAGTCACATTCCATTCATGCTAGCTAAGTTTCATTCAATTTGTTGTATTGATTACCAGTACAACCTTTTTTTTCTCAAGACAAGTGATTTGTGTTATTTTACATTTTTATACTTTTATTCATTTTTAAATTTCACTGATTTCTACTCTCAGTAGATTACATGAATTCAACTAATCTTCAACTACATTTCTAGGTCTATTGATAATTGATGAATGATAGATTGCATTAATCTCAATTGGCAGAGGAATTTTACAACTTTAGCTTGGGTTAAGTGTATGTAATTATTAAACTTAAGGCTGAAATCATCCTTAAACTAAAAGATTAAAAGAAATATGCTTCCTATATTTCTAAGAGTCAAGAGTTGTTCAGTGATACTAAGAAAAGTAACAAAGAATAAGTTTAATAGTTTAAACAACTTTTGGAATTAATGTGCCTTTTTCTTCTATTCAATTTAAAAAATAAAGAACAGATATTTAAAGCAATCTGAGATAATGAACTAAAATAAATATTATCTTGTCTGCATTATGTTTAAATTGACAGTTAATGAATGATTAAATGAAATGTAGTTCAGATAAGATAAAATTAGTTAAACAGAACAAATAGATCAAGTAAAGAGACTTATAATACCAAATAACAAAATTTTATAGTCTCAGACAACTCTTTTATATACATTTTGAATATACTATTAAGGAACCAATTTTTATGAAATAAAATTTTTCAATCTTGAATGATTTATAATCTGTTTTTATTTTAATAAATCTCATTTATTAACAAATGTGAATTGTGATGTCTGCAGTTATATATTTAATTCAATAATTAAGCTATCTGGGGTAAATATTAGGTGTGTATAAATGTTTTGTTTTTTTATTTTTGTTTTTTTGCTGGTTTTTATACTTTCCCAGTTTTGGACTTACATTTTGGGGACTCTGAAGCAGAACTAAAGCAACATCTTTAAAATTAGCAACAATAGGGCAACATCCAATAAAGTTCAAAGGGCTGTACTACCCTTTCAAGAAACTCAAATGAAATGGCAGAGAATTGGGAGGGGGGCTTGAAAACCGGCCATGCACTGAACCCCTTCCCATTAGCAACATGGTTTGGTTAACCAAATCTTCATTAAAAGAGGTTGTTCTATGGCAAACCACAACAAAAGGTAGACCATCAGAGGGACAATCCAATTTTTGGTGTTGAAAAGCACAAGCAAGACAAATGCATGCAACCAGAATTGAGTATTTAGATGTCTTTTTATGGTTTTAATTGGCTCAATCCTAAGGTATAAGCTATAGAATTATTAATCCACATATCAATAAAAAATTCAAGGATCCAGTTGGCAAGATATAAACTATGAATAAATTCTGGTGAGCTTAGCAAGACCATATTGATGGGTGTGTGTGTGTGTGTGTGTGTGTGTGATTTAGTTCACCAAGCACCTGCAAAAATTTTAAATTTCATCAATTACAGGGACATTTTGATGCCATATGAAATTGGTATTAGAGTATATTCCAAGATCAATATTAAGTACAATCCATTCAGTTAGGATTCTATCAATAAAATACTTTCATTTTACTAGCAAACACAAAAAAAAAAAAAAAGAAAAAAAGAGAAAAGTTGTTCCAGGACCTCATTGGTATTAGGGACATTAAAGTTTAAGCTTCATTAGTTTTATCATAGATCTGCTACTGTATACACCTAATAGCTTTGTGGTTAAAGTAGGAAAGTACATGTATCTGCAAACTTTTGTGGGAAAACAAAAAAAACAAACAAAATAAACATTAAAAATATTACTTACTTTGAAGTGATATCTGAGTAAAGTATCAGAATTTCCCCATTTCCTTGCAGGATAAAAATGGGCCATGCCAAAGAATTTTTAGTTCGAGCAGACTTAAGTTTTGAAGGAACATGAACAGGTGTTCCAAAGTCAAAGCTGACAGCACTATCTCCAAAAACAGAATAGAGAGAAGGGTGCATTGCTGACAGACCTCTGCTGTTGTCAATTTGGCCAAGGGAGATGATCTGCATCATTTTTTCAGGTTCATAGATATTATGAATTCTAGAAAAAAAAGAAAGAAAATAAAAGTACATATCAATTTTTGCTTTGTAAAAACAACCAATTTTTCCAGAAGTCAACTGCTTTACCAACTCTAACTATTCAAATATACATTATTAAATACATGTTGAAAAGTTACAGAAAAGAGATGATTTAATATTATTTAAATTTTTTTTTTAAATTACAAGTGGATATAAAAACAATAACAAGAAATACAGCATTGAGTATCTGGAAAACAATGTTCCATGCTGTTGACTAATGGCTATAGAATGATCATCTGAAAATTTTCTATAGAAAACAACTGAAAGAAATACTTGTCAAAAATTTAATAATGGTTGATAGAAGTGGTTTATTTGGGAGGGAGTGGGAGAATCAATTTTAAAATTCATTGGTTTACAAATTTTAACACATCTTTCTTTATGCACTATTATATAATTTTGTGTTGTTCAAATTATTGGAGTTTCACTTTACTTTCCATTGTAGGCAGATTCTTTTTGTGGATATTGCTAAATACACTTATAACCCGAATTGCTACAACCAACATGGTCTTTGGCAGGTCCAAGAGAAATGATATGAAACAAAATAAAAGGCTGTATGTCACCTTTGTGAAACTGACAAAAGTTTTCGATATGGTGAAAAAGTCAAGCCTCTGGTTAATATTGGAAAAACTGGGTTGCCTTACAAAGTTTTTCACCCTGGTCATGTAACATCATGAAATACAGCTTCAGCAAGTCAGATACATGAATGACTTCTCCCAAACTTTTCTGATCATAAATAGCATCAAACAAGGCTGTGTGCTGACCTTCATAGTGTTTGCAATATTCTTTAATATGATTACGTAAGAGCTAGATATCAGGAACATGTACATCAATACACAAAAAATGGCAACCTAAAGTGCCTCCAAGCCCACAGTGTAGGTGTAGAGAGAACTGTGGTTGCTCACTCAGAAGCAGCCCTCCAACAAAAGTCACAAGACTTTTTGGCATGGAGGTTCAGATTAAAACAAATGCCATCTTTATCAGCATGCACCAAATCAAATGTATTACCTGTCCCCTGTCTATTAACCCAACAAAGATGGAAGTGGGTCCAGAGCTTCACCCACCTAGGCAGTGTCATATCCTCTAATGCTAGATTAGGCATAGGTAATAAACTGGTTAAAGCTAATCAAAACTTTGGTAGATTACATACACAAATATGTCTGGGATAAAAATAAATGCATAGTGCCAAATCCTGATTCATGTCACCACCTTAAAGCTATATAAAAGGTTCAACAACAGTTGACAGGTCTTATGGCAAGAATAGAGAACTATCATATTTCAAAAACATCATGCCACTCCATTCAAAGAACTAGTTTCTGGCTAACAGAAAATTAGAGCACCAGCAAAGAAATCTAAGGATACTTTGAAATGTAAACATCTCCTATTGTTGTAATTATTGTCAGTAGCAAACAGGTAGCCAACAGAGCAATATGGAATCAATCAAGCAAAACCCTAACCAAAGAAAGTGAAAGAAAAAGAGCAGAAAAAAAAAACAGCTCCACAAGGCTGGTATCAGCAGTGACTGTAAGATTGTTTGTTAAAGGGTATATTTTTCTTGTAATACCCTCCCTATCTACTTGAATGCTTGCAAAAAAAAAAAAACATCTTCATTTGTAAAGCAAAGCCATAATTATGCACAATTATGTTAATTATGAACCCAACTAGAAACAACTGACAAGTTTGTTATATTGTTTTGGTTATGAAAGTAAGTTTTATCAGTTGTCTGTTGCAGGTAAGAGAATTTTTGATATTGCAAATCAAGTTAATAAAAAATATGGTAAATATGGGAATATGTTACAGAAAGATAAATAACTGCATTTATGGTATGATGACAACATTTCTTGATCAAAAGTACTGACTTTAAAATTTGGCTGTATATACAAAAATAACCTTTAAAGTTTTAATTAAAAAATACTGTGGACCACAGATTATTCTGCAAATTATGAAACATGCAAAAAAAAAAAAAAAAATTAGATAAGTACAGAATATAAAGAAAAGAAACCTTTTTATTAGATAATATTCTCTAATGAAATATCTATAACACAGAATGAATGTTCTAATATGTCATGACTTAAAAATAAAAAATATACTCCTGAATCTCTAATGAACAGAACCCCTCCCATTCTACAAACCTGAGAAAGCATGCATTGGGGGAAATGGAGGCAATGGTTTTTGACCAATTTTGTAATTGGAATAATTCAGTCATGTGGAATTTCCAGAATCACATGAATGTTTTCTGTAAGTAGTCAATAGATTTATCACAGATACACAAAAGAAAACAAAAGAAACAGAGTAAACAAAAACTATATTTTTAATTTGCCATGAAACATAAAAAATGGCTGTAGATGTCATATGAGTATACCATTGATGATTAGAAAAAGAGAGAGAAAGAGTTGCTGAATGGAAATATTTCAGGCTTGCAAAATTAAAGTGAGAACAATGAACAGGTGTCAATCAGTTTCATTTTTAGATGATGGTAGGCAGATCATTATATCATTAATTCTGTTAAGGCTTTATATATGTCACACAGTCAATTAACAGTTGAAAATTCAGTAATTTTGAAGTAAAAATACTAACAGAAGATTTTTAACTCCTTTTTGCAGTCAAATTTTCAAGTTTATAAAAAAAGTGATTATTTGAAAGTGAAATGATTAAGATGAAAAGGAAAGATTTCACTGTTGAACTTTGATTTCTTTTTTTATTTACCAAGCTAAATAAGAATGTTCACTGTCACTGAAATATGTTAAAGTGAAGAGATTCTTTTCAATTTATCTAAGCAAGTCACTCTTCATTAAAAATTTAATTGTCCTGTTTCTGACAGCATCTCTGCAGCAACTGTAAAATTTTAACTCCACCAACATCCTTCCCAATTTTATTTCACCAAAAAAAAAAAGAAAAACTTTCAAATAAAAGTAGGTATCTGTCTATATTTCTGAGATAAGGTATTATGTACACTATTTACATTATTTGGACTACTGTCCTTATCTTTGTCACCATATTTATCACAACATTTCGGCCGTTGTACGATCGGGCCTTCTTCAGATGGTTGGAATGTTGAACAGAACCCTTTATTTTGCTCATTGGTAGACTGTTCTACATCCACAAGCCATGTCTAATGGATGTCAGTTATCAGAATCTCCTGTTAAATTCACTGTAACCAGGTATTGAACTCACAACTCTTAATAAAACTTAGTGCATTACACAAACTGGCTCCAGGAACACTTGGTTTATTTGGAGTACTTCATTGGTTCATCATTTTAAACCCCAATTAGTATTTCAGGAACTTGTAAACATCACTAAATTCCCTGATGTTTTACTCGGATATTTCCTATTATCACATTGAGCAAATACATAACTGATAGACAGACATAGAATATGCTTGAATAAATATACCAACTCAATTACTCCAGACATGTCGCCATGTTATGTAACCACCTTAATTCAGGCAAAGTGAGAGAACTACATTATTAGAGAGCTTCCTCTAATTTTTTGACATTTCAGTTTGTGTCTGTATATGTTATCTAGCTAATAATATGCACATTTAAATTTATCCTCTGGCTGATAATGACATTACATTTAGTGATTATATTAACCAAAATTAAATTGCTTATACTTCTAAGCTCCCACAAAAAATTGTTCATGAACATAGTTTGGGAAAACAGTGTATACTCTTGCGTCTTGACTATACCCCAAAACCTTATCACTTGAAGTTTAAGGTATACTAACTAGATTAACAAATGAAAGTATGCCTTTATCATTATCATATGTAGAAATTGCAATGAAGAGCTGAACAAAATAACCATGGTAAAAGAGATTACTTAGGTACCAATAAATAAAACATTAATGGGCCAATACATATTTGAAATAAACTAATTTTTGCACTGCATTGTTATTTTATGTGTGACTAATGTAATCAATAAGTACACTAATAGGTTGTACATTTGCATTTTAGTCTACACCAAATCACAAGTGGTAAAGCTAATAAAGAAACAAGAAAAATTGTCTTACAAGGTCAATTTATGACAAATCCTTGATTTAACAGGAGTTTTACAGCTGAGCAAGATAATTTAACTGGACAAGTGGTGATCAGAATTATTTTTCTTTGATAAATATGAGATATGAAAGGGGTACTGAGAAGTCTCAGCCCCACCAAGAAGCCCTTGAAAAACAAATATATCATGTGCAGTCATTTGTGGAAATTTTGTGAAGTGAGTTTGATTGAGAACTTTAGCACCCTCTCATCAAAGTTGTATCATGCAAATATCCTGAAAGGAAGGAATTTGATTGGTTGAAACATGCAAATTAACTTTAAATAGAATTAAATTTAATGGCAGGAAATAAAATCATTGAAATTTGGGTTTCATCAAAAGTACAAATGTATGATTGTATCAATAGAACAAAATCATAAAATTAAGCTTTGGGGCCATGTTTGATAGAGTAGCTTAAAGATCAGCTGTATCAACTAAATGAATTATAACAAAGTTGATAGCAACAATAAAAACTGTATGGAAAAAATATGATAGATATAAATTATCTACTTGAAAATAATGGCTCAGTAAGATTTATTTTTATTTGCTATGCCTGTCCTTGCAAAATATTTTAAATTTTGCAGTATTAAAAGAAAAATATGTAAAGAGTAAACAAACTTTTAAAGTTAAAATGGACTACATATTAATAAAAATGCAAGACCCCTTTTCTTATTAAACCTTTCTGGAAATAGTAATTTTAATTTTTTAACAGAATCATTTCTTAAACTGTGTTTAACCACTTGGAATCAAATGACAAAATATCTCAAGAGAAATTTCTTTGCTCTGTAAAAAAATCCTTGTCTCAAGTGATTAAAGAATTTTTAACTTGCTGTCAAAAATGTGTATGTGTATCTTCCTTCATGAATAAAACTAACATTTTTAAATTATTTTTTGTGAGTTTGTATTTGATTACTGAAATATATGGCAATTTATTTTTTAATGAAACAAAAAAGTTACTATAAGTAATCAGTTTTTGACAGAACTGGATAAGAAAATACATATACAATTAACATTTGAATAATATACATTCCTGGCTAATTTTCAGTCATGGCAAAAATCTATAAACTTGAATTTTCATTTTTTTTTCTTTAATATTTAAATGCATAAGCCAAATATCCAGTGTAGCAAATCACTGGATATCATTTTAAATCATGAGTAAGGTATAACAAGAAACTTTATCAATTCTTTAAGAAAATGTCCATAAATTTGAGAAGAGTAATTAACATATTCAAAATTATTCAGACACCCATAGATACTTACAAGAAGAGTCTACAAAAGACTGCATTCATAACATACTTTTTGTATGTGGTAAGTTGTATACAATGGAAAACCAGCTGCCATCTTAGGCTCACAGAAAATAAGAAAGTCATAATGAAAGGTGAGGTGGAAACATCTGGTATGACATAACATATCTTGTGGGAGAAGAGTACACACTACCTTTTCTGGGATAAAGTCTAGATAATAGACAGGGAGCATTGTTAGGGAGTGAGGAAGCTGAAGGAGGCAGTATATATTAGCCTGTCAACTAAGTGCATGCGTTATGCTAACATGGACTTCAAAACTATGTAGTTTTCTTTAGTTAGCAAAGTTGGTGTTGAGAAACTATCCCTTGTTGTAGGTTTGGAATGATCTGGACACTTAGTGTACCAGTTATTAAAATAGATGGATATATAATAATGAACAATTTCTTCATAGGCTGTTCTAGGTTAGTTCGTCTCAAAGATTACATTTGAAAAGGGATGCAGAATGGATCTGTCAAAATGATGGCAAAAAATGACAATGGCAAAAAATACAAAGGAGAAATTAAAGTATTCAAATAATGTGCAGTAAATAAAGAATGAAATGTTGAGATACTTTTCAGAGAAAAATTATGTTGATACAAATTTTTCTTTTTTGATGTTTGTGCAAAGAATAATTCAGCATTCAATTCACAAATTTTGAATCTTAATCTAACATCTATATTTGAATAATAAAATTTGTAGTGATTGGATTTTAATATTTGTAGTTATTTATTATTTTTAGGATAAATTTTCACACTTAATAATATTCGAGAACTTGTCCTCAAGTATCAGGATCAATTACATTACAGACTCTTTTTTGAATTTTATCAAGAATCTTGAGCTATATACAGTGTGCGGCAGAAATGTTGTCTATATAATAGTAAAACATTAGCCAGATGAAGACACCATTGCCACTAATATCTTACCATTATGTGGGAGGTATTTCTGTTGCATCCTGTAGCAGGAGCACCAGACCAGACCAGACATGACAGCAATATTCAATGCACAGATGAAGGGTAGATTTATAAATATGCAAGATGGATTTGGATGAGAAAAACTGGCAAGAGACCAGTGAAGCAACTTTCCTAGCAATTGATTCAATATAATCACTCCACTTCATGTCAGTGGAAACAAGAGCCCAAAAAGGTACAAAGAGTTGCTCTCCTGGAAGTTAACATCACAATGGCAAGCAGAAAATGTTCTCTATGGTGATTAATAGAAAGCAGTTTTGTTTTGGAGATATTCAAATTTACAAGATATTCCTTGCCTCCAATTGACTACTTACTGAAGGTCCTTTTTGGGAGCAGTTTCCAGTTTTACTTTGTCGAACTTGCTACTAAGACTGGGTTAAATAGTTGTGTCATCATCATAAATATCTAGTTGGGAACTGATGACATTGGGAAGGGTACTGATAAAGCTAAGAAACAACGCAAGTCCAAGAAAAGAGCTCTGGATGACACCTGCATTAAGCCAAATATTTGTCTAGAGGAACTGTAGCCTTTGAGCATGTGGAGAAGGCCAACATGCTAAACACTGTTGAGCACCTTCAAGATATCTAGAGCCACAGTCCGAGCTTTGTCATTCTTATCTAAGACTTGATAGACAAATTTGTAATAGCCATTAAAATATTGGCAATAGACACAGAGAAATGGAAGACATTATCTATATGAAAGCTTGCCATAATTATTAATAGGAAAGATAGTGGAGTATTTTCCTGTTGCTTTTTCCAAGGGTTTAAATTTGAAATTCTCCTAGACTGGTTGCCCATTAAAGAAGCCCATCTTGCCCTACTATTTAATCCATAGCTGGGGTGATGGGAAGAACGGGTGAAGCCCAAGGTCAATGCTAAAAAGAAAAACACAAATAATATCTCAGCTAGAAGTTGAACTTGGATTGCCGATTTCATTTTCTGCTTATAATAACTAAATATATAGAAATGTGAGCTTGTTTAGTATAAATTGTACAGTTAAGGGTCTCAATGTAATGTCTAAAGATGAAATGGTCAAAGTACAAAGGGTTACTGTGCAGTTACCGTTCTAGTCACTCACTTTATTAAAGAAACACATCATGGTATAATATACAATAATAACAAATTTCATTCTCAGTTTGAATGCAAGCAAATCTGACAAAACAAAAAAACAATTTTAAGTTCTCTTACCGAATGATGTTGTCTGATGTAAGAAATGCAATATGATTGTCTTCAGCACTTCCCGGATGCCACAAAACTTGTAGAAGACCAAGATCCCCATGACTGGCAAACAAACGTTCAGCCAAAGGAAATGTGCTGTAACAGAAAGAAAAAGTTGAGTATTCACATTGGGCAACACCTATAGTACCAGTACCAAAAGATAATGGCAAAGCTATTTGGATTTGTAGAGACAACAAGCAGACCATAAATATGGCTGCTCCTGTGATACTTATCAAATACCAAGGACTGAAGATTCATTTGCTACATTGAAGGGCAGTAAGAAGATTAGCAAACTTGATTTGAGTAATGCTTATCAGCAACTGGAATTGGATGAGAAAACATGAGAGTTGCTCACAATAACTGGTTTGTACTAGCCAACGTGCTTACAGTTTGGTGTGCATTGTGCTACTGGAATCTTTCAGCGAGAGATGGACAAAAGTTTAAAGAATATACCTTTTTGCAAAGTGTGAGTAGGTGACATTTTGGTTTTGGGGATTAATGACACCAGTCATCTTGTGAACCTGCAGAAGGTCTTATTTGTGTTAGACAAAGCTGATCTAAAACTAAAAAGAGACAAATGTCAGTTTCTTCTTTCAGGGGTGACATATCTTGGATTTTGAATTTGCACTGAAAGTATAGCTCCTCTGGCTGAAAAGGTGACTGCAATGCAAGAGACCCTTGCCCTCAAGAATGTAACAGATTTGAAGGCCTATCTTGAACCCCTAAATTATTACAATAATCATTTACCCAAATTATCCACTGTACTGGAACCCCTTCATCAATTGTTGAAGAAAGAAATAACTTGGGATTGGGGAGCCAATCAGAAGAGGTCCTTTAAAAAAGCCCAAAGAAACTGCTGTGCTGGTGCATTTTGGTCCATCCAATCCCATTCTGGTGCATGGTATAGGGGTGGTTATGGCACACAGGATGGAAAATGGAATGGAGAAACCCATGTGCTACATATCTTAAAGCCTGTCTGCCTCTGAAAGGAACTATGCACATGTAGAAAAAGAAGGCTTGGCCCTGGTGTTTGCATTTAAAAGGCTCCATCAGTGTTTGTACAGGAATTTCTTCACATTATATACAGACCATAAGCCACTACTGGGACTTTGCTGAGAACAAATCAATTTCTTCTCTTGCTGCTTCTAGAATACAACATTGGGCACTATTCTTAGTGGCTTATAACTATAGGCTGGAGTACCAAGCCAGTGAGTTCAACAGTAATACTGTCTCAGTCACCTTCCAGTAGTGTCTTGATAAGAGGATCATTCCATCATCATAAACAGAGTGAACATGATGGATTTGGTTGATTCTCCAGTAACAGTGGCTGAAGTTCAAGCAAAGACTAGAAAGGACCGGATTCTGAGCAGGGTACATGAAGCGATATTGAATGGCTGGAAGAACATTACTTTGCATGCAAAATGGAGACCTTACTTCAGTAGGCAAGAGGAGTTAAGTTGTGAGGATGATGTAATACTATGGGGAAGCTGGATTGTCATTCCAGTCAGGTTATGGGTAATGGTATTGCAGGAACTCCATCAGATATTGGACCTGTGTGCATGAAAGCTCTTGATTGAAGGTATGTGTGGTGACCAAACATGGATGCAGATATTGAGAAGACCTGTAAGACTTGTGGAACATGCTTATTAAGTCAAAGCAAACCAAACTAAGCATCCATTCATTGGTGAGAATATCTTAATCAGCCCTGGGAAAGGATTCATGTGGATTTTGTGGGTCCCTTTATGGGACGTATGTTTATGATTGTCATGGATGATTATTCAAAATGGATGGAGATTTGTATAATGAATACATCTACTGCCCAAGTCACAATAGAGAAACTGAGAGGGATATTCACCACACATGGTTTGCCGGTATTATTAGTGAGTGATAATGGCCTGTGTTTTACCAGTGATGGATTTAAGCAGTTCCTGAAATCAAATGGTATCCAACAAATGTTCACTGCTCCTTATCATCCTTCCTCCAATGGTCAAGCTGAATGTAAGGTGTGCATGTTCAAAGAGGCACTGAAGAAGTTAAGAATGGAAGAGAAAGCAGACCTCAAAACCCAAGTATACCGTTTCCTATTCTCTTTTAGAACCATTCCTCATACAGCAACAGTAGTTTCTCCTGCAGAGTTGATGCTTAAACGTCAGATACGAACTGGTTTTTCATTTACTGAAGCCCAATACATATTAGGCCAATATGAAACAGAGAACAAAGGTGATGAGTTCCCTGTGTCAATTCAAGGTTGATGATCACATACTGGTGCAGAATTTCAGAGCTGGGGGAGTGGTGGATGGAAGGCATCATTACCATACAACTGGGGTCTGTAAATTATGAAGTGGGAGTGGATGAAGGCTTAGTGAGGCGACATGTGAATGAACTAGTGAGACTGCCCCCCACAAGATCATGGTGAAAGTTGTGCCCGATGTGCCAGTGGTAGAGGTAGCTGAACTGCATGAGGCTCCAGAAACCCTTGAAATGATGCAATAATTTCTCCAGGATACACTGAAATGCCATATGCTACAGAGATGCGTGAGGTTTGGCGGTCAGGCCAAATTTGGAAGTCGCCATCCAGGTTTGGGGACTGGGTAACAAAGTAAGTTTGGAGATGTTGCGAATTATAATATTTATTGTAATGTTTTATTTAGTGAAATCTATGTATGTATACATTTAGGAAAAACCTAATTATTTTGGACAGACTCATTAGGCTAAGGAAGTGATGGTTCACCCCTGGTTGGTTATAAAAGATGGCCACTTGAACTTATCAGTTGTCCAAGCAAGTAGTCACTACTGATGGCCATACTGCTCTAGTGGAAGCAAGTTGACAACTACTTATTATGCTGCAGAAACTAAATACATAAATAATACAAGTCTTACTAATTAACCAATAGCTGGGAGGAGAAAAGGTAGATTCATATCTTTCCCAAGAGTATTTGCACATAAATGAATGTAACAAAGCCAACTAGAATTGGAATTTGGCTCTCCAATTATCACTCAAGTTTTATCTATGATCATAACCTGAGCAGCCACACTTACAGCACCTGGTATTCCCAAGTGGTCATCCATCTAGGTAGTGACCAGACTTGACATTGCTCAACTTCAGTGATCGTATAGGAATGGTGTTTCAACATGATATAATCATAAGCCTAAAAATAAATGTATCCTCTTGTCACCTTATGAATGGAACAAAGAAATGTAATCTTGGCCATAGGTGATATGGTTTTGATACTATCAAAGGAGAGACCACACATGGTTTTTAAAAGTCAAAGATACATCTGTATAGTGATCAACAAAATATTAAATGAAGAAATCTTTTTTTTTTCCACTCCCAGTGCAATTCTGGTCAATAAATGTATATTATCTTTATGGGTTACACATTACACTTAAAATATATTTTAAAATTATAAAATTAAACACAAATCAGAAGAAAGGCAAAGGTAATGGTCTGCAAACTGGGTTGTGTGATGTCATATCTGTTGTACACATACCACAAGACTACATAAAGCTTTACTGGTTTTTAACACTTATAAACTTATGGATAAAGAAAGATACTATATTACTTGTACTTTCTATTGTCATCATCATCAGGCTTTTTTACTCCCAAAGAGATAAATGTTAAAATATTAATACCACTGTAAGCTAGTTTTGTTTATGTTGATATTCTAGATAGTCCCCTACAAAAAGTATCCTCATTTCAGAGTATAAAAGTATTGCAATAGAATCTTTGTGATCAACACATTATATAATAAAAAAAGGAAGGAAAAGAAAAACTAACATTTTTGGCAAATAACTGCTTATAAATCAAAACTCATCGGTTTCATTCTTTCATGAGAGAGAACATTAAAATGAAATGGCTAATGATTGTATTACATAATTTACAGTAATTTTCTTCAAATTTTTTTTTATAAACATTTTATTTTGATTTGTTTTAGTTGTTTAGCAGGTCTCTAAATTGAGATTTGAACAAATAAATTTTAAGGGAAGTTTATTAATGCAGATAAACCATTAAGGAAAACTGAAAATAGTCATAGGAGTTTCTGTGTTTTGCTGGATTTAAAGCTACCCACAAGCAGATTGTTATTTCATATTGGGTTCTAAATGTAAGCAGCTGTGACAGAGTAATAGGTCAAGTGTTAAGCTCACTAACCAGTGAAAGCGAGTTCATTCCTGGTTACATGCTTTATGAAACTAGTTCCTTAGATAAGTTTGTTTAGGTCAATAATAGTGATGGGACAATTAATCGGAATTGAGAATCAGAAATATCAGAACTTTTGGGGGTATCGGAATCGGCATTGAGATCAGAGAATTTTTAACCTAATTTCCAATTCCAAAAAATGGTTTTGAGATTTTATTTTAAATTAAAACTTAATTTTCAATTCCTGGTACTCATAATAAAAAGATATAAGTATTTATTGATTTTAAACTATCAATAAAACTAAAATAATAGCATCTAAGTATGATGTAAATTTATTTTACTTGAAAAAATTAAATGTGCAAGTTTCTACTCAGTTCTTGAACTTTTCCTAAAGTTTGCTAGTTTAAAGTTTTCTTTTTAAACATTGTTAATTCACCAATTTAATATTATAAATTATTAATTTAATAATTATAATCACAATTATGTAATATAAACACAAAATGAATTTACATTGTTGTTCTGCTGGGCTCTCTTTTAAGAGAATTTTTATTATTTTTTTTTTTATTATTCCTCCTTGGAGCCAAATGAGAAGCAAGTGTTATTTTTTATAATTAGAAGTTTATAAAAATAGTTAAAATTAATATTTTTATCCCATTTTTATCTTGTGTGATTAAGCTATAGCTTTTTCCACTTTTAACATTTGTTTTAATATTTTTAAAATAAAAGTAGTAAAATTTCATCTTCTAATAATCTAATAAATAACTGAGAAAAAAAATCAACTACATGCAAAAATATACATTTACAGTTGTCCTTAGTCTTATGAAGATTTTAATAATTTTAATCTTATTATTTTATTATTATTTTAATGTTTAGTAATAATATACCTTATAAAATGATCATGTTTTACTGTGTTGTTGCACTTTTAATCTTAACAAAAATAAAACACTTTTTATTCTTT